TAAATAATATTTGCGTAGACGGCGGCGGCTAATCTACATATTATATAATAATTCACAAGACAAGATAATTTATACAAAAATAACGAAGATCATAATAATATGTGACTGTGCGTGTGTGTGATTCGGTCGGTGGAGGAGTGGTGGTACGAGGTAATATAATAATAATAATATTTATTCGTTGGCTTGGACAACCTATGTATGAAATCATAATGTATAAGTTAATTATGACGGTGCATTGGAGTATTAATGGCGGGTCAATTGTTAACATTTTTTAAGTAAGCGGTGTCGCTGCACACCCCCCCCCAAATGACGACCCTGACTTATTTAGATATAGTCAAGATATAGTTATTTATAGCTATAATTATTTCTTATTTTTGGACTAAACAGTTTTAGTGCAAGATTAAGTATATTATGTATTTATCCATTAACAAAAATCAATTTTTATTTAATTATTTTGTATAAAATAGATTTATTATTTTATTAATAGAATCATAATATAAATACTCAGTAATCATAAACGTATAATATGTAGCCCTAAGACTATATACAAATTGGAAAGAAAATGTGAACACTCGACTAATTTACTGTAAAAACTGGGAATCAACAGGGTGAGAAGAGTTCATTCCAAATTTAAGCTGAAACCAATAAATTCAACTCACCTTAATAAAACCCCTATTTTCAAACGGAAACCAATCAGACAACTACTGAAGTACCCAAGTCGGGGTTTTTTTTAGTATTATAATATTCTATAATGTGATGTACCTACAGGCAATGTAAGTACAGCTGTGAAGAAAAACAACACTATACCACAGGCTATTAATTTTATTGAAAATGATCACAACCTCTCAATAATATTCTTTTGTCGTTATTTTTTTTCTACCTTTTATGTATATGCTTGTTTGGAACTACTATAAAGTTTCAAGATGCTCTATCTAAAAATCAATTTACAATCAACCTAGCTAGTTAGGTAGTAATAATTGGTACTTTGAAACATAAATTTCTTATATCCTCAAAACTTTTTTTTACTACATTGAAAAACTACAGACGGCTATTAAATAAGTTTAAACAAGCCTGGTTTTAATTGATGATCTGCATGGCGCTGACTTTTGATTTTCGAATGGGTTTTACATAAAAAATATTACATTTTCCAATAAATATAAAATAACTTGGTGAAACATATTTTTTACCTTTCGTTCCATTTAAGTGTAATTTTATCTTTCTACTTTCTATATAATTGTGAAAATATTTGTTGCTAATAGTATAATATTATAATTATTTGTAGATATCATCGATGACGATTCATAGAATACATAGATACTTATCAGTGTAGACGTGTGTATACGGGCCATTGCAGCTGTGAAAACTAAATTGTATAAAATATCATATTCAGTTTTGGGCAAGATATCTAAAAAGAAGTATCTGGATACATGATGCAATATCCTTTAAGTTCAGTTATCTATAGCTGCTTGACACTTGATACTTTTAGAATTAATAAAAAATTCAAGATACCTACTCTAAAAAAGTTATTCAATATTTCCCTTCGTAGTAAACAAAAAAACAAAATTAAAAATTTTCATTTGATCCCCCTAATAAAAAAAAAAAAAAATAATAATAATAGTTTTTGGAGCATTTTCACTGAAGGACCTTTGACAAGAAAAATCGAATTATTTTTTAAATTAAAAATGTACTCGTACATACGTCTTGTACACGTGTATTTCTTATAATGACGTCTGTTCGTTCGAACACATTCGCATATTATAATAACGAGTATTATTATCTTCGGTACCGTCCGTCGACTCATATCTGCAATAATATTACCGTCACCGCGACCATCGCAAAGGCATATTGCGATTATTGTTATTGTTTTTGTTTTTATATCAATAGAGCTGCAGCTCGTGGACCGTATTTTTTTTTTATCGCCATCTACCGTCGGCGCCTACACGGCGACCGACCGAGTCGCAATCGTATTTCATTATTATGTTAATATTGTGATATTAAAATATTGTTGTCGTCCTCGGCAGCTGCAGTGTCGGAGAAAGAATGACGGACGAGAGGAGAAAAACAGAAAACTGAGAGCAACTGCACACGGCCAAACACATAGCAACAAAATGCGTGCGTGCATAAAAGTCTTGGCGGCGGCGGCGGCGGCGGCGGCGGAGTCGGAGTCGGCCGCCAATGGGGTGTCGCGAAAACGCTGTCCGCGCGCGCCGTCCGGACGCACACGACGAACAGTGAACGCACACCCCTTCGGCCGGCGGGACACGGGCGCGCGCGGCCGATCATCTATCGCGCGATCGTCGTCATCGTCGTCGTCGTCGCCGTCGTCAACAGTGTTTACGATTGTCGTCGCGAATTCCTTGGTCGTCGTCTTCGCCGCCGCCGTCAAATGGCAATCTGATCTTTCGACTTAAACACAATAGTATTGTTGTCGTCGGCCACTTACAATATAATAATATTGTACCGTAAAAATATTATAGTTCACAGGTCAGTAACAATAATATTATGTAATAATGACAGTAACGGTATATAGGGATCTGTGCACACGTCGATAGACAGATTGTGTTTACAAATTTAGTTTCTAAATATCATTAATATATCGGAGTGCATATATGGGTGCATTAATTATGTTACGTATTAATGTGAGGTTATCGGTGAGGATTTTTCGGTATTTTTTTTTTCGTGTGCGATCGAGAGGAGAGCGTCCGCTGGGACATTTAACTATTCACCACTTCAACAAATCACCAGCCAACGACCAGACGAATAACTGTTGAAAAATATGATTTTTTTTTTATAGATATTTGGCTGCATAGGTATAAGATCCGCTTTCAAATAATTTACAGTGCAAATTTTAAACATCGGAGTAAAGGATATATAGTGGGTACATCGCAATACAGTTGATACTTCTATGTATGTTTTAAATGTAAAGTTTAAACACAAGTTAATCGGATTTAAACAGTTGTTTTCTCAACTGCAGCTGTCAATTATTGTATAGCCATCGCTATCTGATTATTATATTATATTATGGTACACAGCTGCAGTAGTGTCTTTAGAGATTGAGAATCGTTTAGATAATATATACCTACCGGTGCGTTTACACAATCTATAATAGAATATTATAACAGATTTCTCCTGACATTTAAATCATTAAAGTCTAATTTCTTCCCTATTTACTAAAAGAATTGCCTCAATAATCGTCGTGTGTGTTCGACAAACAGTAATAAACAATTAATTGTTACCTAAACGTATAATTTTATCTTTAGTAACTTTCTTGTATGAAATGTGCAAATATGCTTAAGTATAAAAGTATCAAAAAACGAATCAATCCACGAGAAAACGAGTTTTCTCAAGTTGCAACCTATATTATATGACTGCACTGATTATTTTCACCTTAAAACAATCAAACGGATCATATATAAAGTTTTAATATTAAAATCTACGACCCATATTTATTTTATTATTTTTACGAAGGAAAAAATATTAAAACTTGATTTCGTTTGTTCTTGTAGGTATAGCATTTAGAAGACAATAGTATCTCAAAATATTCCAAAAACATTTTAATGATGATCATAATTTTAAAATATTTGAAAAAGATTATCATTTCTCAAATGCGATCCGGGTTGTGTACCTACTTAATTAAAAATAAAGTACATCGTATTATACAAGGAAGTATTATTGCCTTCCTAGTGAAAAATATAAGTGATATCTCATGTTGAAGACAGATTATCAAAGTTGGTGGCTAGTTGACAAGACTGATGACAATGGTTAAAATCTACTAGAAATGTTATGAAAAAAAGAGTACATAATAATATCATCAGCAAGGGAAATATAAGTACATTAGTGTGTAGAAGAAAAACCCTATAAAATATTCAAAGTTGACTTAAAAGTCAAGACATCTTTCGTGAACTTTATTTTTTTAATTTATGATTTTAGTATACAATACGTGTTAGTGTTATACTATTATTATAATATAATACCATCGGCGATATTACGATGTATGTATAAGTTGTATATTATTAATTTAATACTGGTACTATGCTGAACAATATTCAGGGTATTCATAAAGTGAAATGCATATTTTAATATTATTATGTTCTGATCATGTAGGTAGTTTTTTTAATAAAACAGTTTTTGTTCGAGGATTTAATATTATAATGTATTTATATACCGACTAGTTCACGATTAGGTTAGGTAATAGTAGGTTTTACTGTATTACTGTATTGGTATATTTATAGTTAATTCGTATGTTGTAATTTTTGTTAAACAAATTCTCCAACAATGAAAGCACAATGAAAAATGTTGTTCACTTTAAAACGTGCAAATTTAAATAGGACATTCTTTATACTAAATGCAACCAACTGAAGACAATTGTTATCATTAAAATACCAGCAGAAATGATTCACGCGTAAAACATCACTCGAGAAGAAATGTGGAAAACCACTATATAAGTTTTATTATAAAAATACCAGTGGTCAACATTTTTCAAACGTTTTCTCAATGAAAAAAATTTGCATAGCTTTTGATAATTATAATAATAATAATAATAATATGCTCTTATTCGTATCAAACGGTCACAAAGACGGTCGTCTAAAAATAATTGTCCGCTTACGAAACCAAATAAGTTGATTTGTATTAAGTACTTACCTAATATTATATTTTATGTGAAAATGGTTACGATGTTTATTATTTTTGAGTGGAGGGTCGAATGACTCAATAACACACAACATAATATGTCTGAATAAAACACATCGTTTATAACAGACCTTAGGCCAGTCTCGTGCATTCGTATATTTGCTCATACAAACGCTATATTATGTAGTCGTGTTATTCAAATTCGATTTTAGGCACCGTACCTATATAGTATAATAATATTCCGATAATATTATACAACTATGTATTACATCATATTATTATATAATATCGTTGTTCATATTATTTATTTACCTTTTTTTTTTTATAGTACATTCCTTATTGTCTATATTATAATAGTGATATATATATATATATACACACATGACTATAATATCTACATACAGTAGTTGGTACTATGTAGCTCATAGGTTTCTAGGTTTTAAAACTTTTTTTAACACGATTAAACAAATAATCACACATACTATTTTAGTGTAAGATAAGATGATCTTGTGAGTCGATGATAGCAAGGTGTATAATATTTAGTTTACGAGTTGATAATAATCATATAAATCAAGATTGATAAATAACAACTACACACAGCGATAGCACATAGGCATAGAACGTATTTATTAATCAAACCCATCGTGCAACAAACTTAACATTTTGAGCGGCATTGAAGAGTTAGTACCTATGCGGAAATTAGTTTTGTGGATATTTTTGATTTGTTTTTTTTTATGCAATGTAGAATTTTGTGGTTGGACATCTTCATGAGAATATTATCATATGAATATTGTTGTTTCTTATGGACAAGAGAGAATTTCTATTATTCTCTGCAGTACTTGAGAGTTGTGAGTAATAGATGTATGCATGTAACCATTATTAATATTGAACTTTTTAATTTAATCATATTTTAACTATTAAGTACCTTAGTATTTTAAATGCACTTATTATCATCTAATAGTATCGTAATATAAATTTCATTCAGATTGTGTAATATAATACTAAATGTACAAAATATATTTTAGTACCTAGTCGAGTTGTACATCACAAAAATATATTATAAGTCGTCGTCGCATATAACAATACGTACCCATCGTAAAGTGTAATGCACTATTATGTAGACATAATATTATTTTAAACAGCTTACCACCTGTACTGTTTTTAATTACCGCTGGAGTTCCGTTTCGTTAACGAGATCGTGTTGGCATTTTATTGTTGCGGTGCACGACATATTGTGACAATGTCAGGGAAAACACCGAGTTAATAAAAATATTATAGCTAAAAGTGGACGTTTTTCTGTGTTCAATTCGACCGTTTGCGTTCAGAAAGTTTAAAGTTGAAACGAAACAAAAATCACCCAAGTAGTAGTACCTACCAGACCACATAACAATCGCTTTGCGAGATCACGCGACAATATTAATTAATGATTGCTATGCTCAATTTATTCATGATAATAGCGTTGCATAACATGATATACAACTGGCCACGTACACATGACAAATTAATATTTCGTGGTAAGGGTTCTTTAACAACTCAACTAAATATTATAATATAATCTATTTAGTTTGTACTGTTTTAGGTACTTACCAATGTACACATTCATATGCGTATATAATTTCATGTACGAAATACTTATTTTCTAAATATTAGTTTGTACTATTTTTTTTAAAAAAGAAAACAATTTTCAGTAATATTTGAATCCCCCACCTTAAATCATCATCACTTGCAATATATGTCTCTATAACAGTAAATTATCCGCATAAAATGTGATTATGATGTTAGGGGTCAGAAAATTAAGGTTAAGTTAAGGGCTCGGAAAAGAATGTTTTTTTCGATTATTTTTACTACGAAAACATCAATTAATTAGTTTTTTAACCGCCAACTTAATCTTTTTACATGCAGTTCACCTTTGTTTCAATCGCGTTTTTAATATAATAGGGAGAACCTTGTAAAAAATTGATTTTTTCTATCTGATTTTATTTATGTTTCATAAACGTGTTGATTAAAAGTAAACTAATGATGTCTATAATTATATAGGTAAAAGTTCAATAACATTATACAGAGTATGTGTAACTATGTCACGGTTTAATTAATTAGTTCTTAAAACGAAAATTTTATATTAAAATAAAGATGGTTTAATTTAATATGTACAACCTATAATTAATGTTAATTTTAAATTTTTACTACCTCCCAGATCCCGCATGCTTAAATATACTTTTTATTTGAATGAACTATTTAAAAATATATATTGCCAGTTTTGTTAGTTTTTACAATAATTTTGATGATAAAAATCATAGATTTCAAGGTTATTCTATTGAAACCACGACTAACTAAACTACATTAATCGTTAATTTATGTAAACAATAATAGTTGTAAGTCAATTACAATTATTGATGAACATAATTACTTTTGTATGATTTAAAAATAAATAATGAACTATGGTTATAGTCACAATCACTAATATTTTGTAACAGAATTCAATTCATTATTATTTTGATAAATATTAATATTAATACTTGATTGGAAAAAAGAGACAAATCATTTCATACTTTTTATATTAGTGTAAAGCTGTTTAGTAAAGATAGTCACTTACCTGGGTATTCAGTTAATTTGACTACTAATTGTTGAGAGAAATTGTATCTCTTAAGCTGAGCGAGGAATTCATTACCTATATTATAATATTATAATATAATAATTAATAACCGTTGGGGTTTTTTTTATGCATATTTTTCCATATCAAGTGGAGTTCGACAAGTTCCTAAAACTTATTAGTCTCTGTGGCCGAATTTTCTTTTCAACCCAAACTTAAACTATGAAGTTTTAAACGGCGGCGTATCGTATAGGTAAAACTAGTA